TGTGCTCTTCCGATCTATTTTATATTCTTTTACGTATGAGACAATATGCTCATAAAATAAATACAGAAAAAAAAACATTTAAATCAACAAGTTAAAAAAAATGCTGTTTTACAAAACTTAAATAATATTAAAGGATAATGTAATATTAATTAAAATAAATTTTATATAAAAATGCATGTACTTTGTGTATATTTTCCTTTTTTTTATTTTACTATGTAAAAATGTTGCATTGTGCTATATATGCGATATGAAAATAACGGCCGTATCAATATTGGTGATATTCATGATATTCTATATTTGTCTTCTTCGTGCACCGTATGTCAAACAAGGATAGATATCATATACATATATATATGACCGGACCTAATGTTGCCAGCGCCACGCGGACATTAAGTAACCACTAGGAACTACGAGTGTCAGGGGGCTGCTAGAAGGGCAAGTCAATAAGGTTTTAGAAAAACATAGTAAAACACTTTTTTTTATCGATTTATTTTTATTTCTCGACATAGTCTCCTTTCAGCTCGATACACTTGATCCAACGATTCTCCAACTTTTTCAAACCGTCCAAATAATATGATTTGCCCACCCTTCAAAATAAGTCTTTGTTTCGGCGATGAGATGCTCTCTGGTGGTGAATCTTTTTTCTCCGAACCATTTCTTCAGATTTGGAAACAGAAAATAGTCGCAGGGAGCTAAATCTGGCGAATATGCTGGATAGGGAAGTAATTCGTAGCGGAATTAGTTGAATTTGGCTATCGGTGCCGGGGTCACCCTTATGGTCCACAGTGAGTAAACGCGGCACCCATCTTGCCGATAGCTTTTTCATATCCAATTGTTTGTGCAAAATTGAAATCACTATGCCATGTGATATCAGATATGCCTGTGGCCTCAACAAGCTCGCACACTTTCATTCGTCGATCAGTCAAAACAATATCGTGGACTTTATCGATAATTTCTGGCGTAGCAGCCTCAATTGGACGTTCCAAACGAGGTGCATCACATGTGGATGTACGACCACGTTTATTCATTCCACCCAATTGTATACAGTCGCAAACGCCGGTGCAGATGCTACGAACATTATCCAACTCGGCTTTGATTTCTTTTGGCGTTAAACTTTTCATATGTAGATGTTTGATTACTGCACGAAACTCGTTTTTTTCCATTTTGCAAAAAATATAAAAGTTGTTCGCTTTAATCGTCTACAGAAATAAAACTACGCGATAAATTCTGCTCAAAATTTTACAGTAATCAGCTGAAAGATGCTACTTGTCAAAAAGTAACGTGACATGACACTGCGAGTGCTCTCTGACAGATTTTCTAAGAACTTATTGACTTACCCTCGTATTACCTGTATAAATGACTTGATATCCGTAAATGACATCAAGATAAATAAAAATTACGTATGGTGTTTTATTATTCAATTATGTTGTAATTTACTGTATTGGGCAGTGGATGAAAGACACAATGGATATATATAATATAATAATGTGATACGCTTTATTCTGATATTAATACAACGTCTTAAAACCTCAGAACTCTTTGTGTCTACTCGTGCGTGTGTGTCTTAAAAAAGTAAGTCCATAGTCATGGAATATGCGTTAATATGATTAAGGTGCGTCTGTTTGTCCTTAGGTGGCGTCGTTGTATTCTCGTCTCTTCTTAACAAATTACTATTACTTTTATAAAAAATTTGATATCAGTAAATGGCGTCAAGTTAAATAAAAATGATTTTATTCAACCTAAGTAATGTATACAGGGTGTCCCAAAATAAACTTTTGTCCTTAAAATGTCATATTTCTTACTCAATTCTGAGAAGATTTTTCCTTTACCAAAATTTTATCTGAAGTTTAGTTTTCAAATTAACAAGATATACAATAAACAATAACAAGAAATAGTTAGCGAATTATGAGTCGCGTGTGGAAGGTAGACAGGGGCGCGCAACTTACTGTCGGACGCAGGTGGTATGCGGGGCCCTCGCGACGATCAGCTGACTGCTACACGCGCGCATACACATGACATTTTAAGGATATGCGATTACATTCTCTCTTGCTCACACACAACACATACACATACATCAATTACCTTGTAAAGATTCGATGATTTCTGTATAGCATCGTGAGAAAGACGGAATTTCCATTTCGATGGACCACGTACAGTTCCAAATAAACGTTTATTTTAATAAATTTTCGA